AATACTTCTGATAACCTTGTGCATTTTCAGGGAACACATCTGCTTCCTAACTGCAGCCGAAATGTTTTTTTTTCCCCTTTAAAACTATGATTATGCTTTCTGAAGCACTGTCTGTGTGCTTGATTGCCTGTTTTAGATTAGAGATTTTAGCAAAGAAACAAAGACTTCAGAGTGCACATCAGTCCTGCATATGAGAAACCACAGAAGGAATAAGCAATAAAATGTGATGCACCATCTGTCCACAAACAATAACCTGGATGTTCTGAAGGCTTACAAATTATTTAGCACACAACCTCACCGAATTATAGGACCCTTAAATAGAGCAATAGACTGGGAATGAGAACCCCTTTGATGTCCTTTTGTCCCCCCCCCCCCCCCAACTCAGCCCTCGATTGATTGCTAACAGTGGAGGTATTTCTCAATGACTGTTGGAGCAAGTTGATTTTTATTAAGTAGCTCTCCATAGAATATTTTGCCACAGATCTGAACAGTGGGGTACACGCTGCCTCTCTGGCCCTAGCCTGCTGCAAACAGATTGTTAATCAAAAGACAGTCTAAAAGAATAGTCAGTTGGGAAATTCAGTCCTAAGGGCAAAATGCTGCCCTCAGTACTCATGTGCAACTCCCACTGCCTGCCACAGGAGCTCACAGGAATACTCGGTGAGGAATTTGACTTTATTAAGTACTAGAAGGTTTCTGACTGGACTCTTGTGGAACAAATCTCTAACAAAGAATCAGATTTTCCCCCCCCCCCCCCCCAATTGTATCCTGCTCCAATTAAAAATAAAATGATATTTTTCTTAGCTGTCATGCTGAAGCACAGTGATCTCGCATGCAAAATACATTAGTAACTGAGCACACTCCAGGTACTGTAAACTGGAGTATGTCAAAGCTACTGGATCCCTAGACAAACCTGGCAGCCCCCAGCAATCTGCACGTATACCAAAATCAAGACATTCAGAGATTAGCGTTTGGGCTAGAGGATTTCACCACATTTATCTGCAATATCATGTAAAAAAGCAACCAAATGAATATAAAAATTACTTTTTTTTTTTTAATATGCAGTGGATTGCAAGATTTCTAAATCTGCAGTTTCATTCAACCTTACCTCTATGTTATAAATTCCTGAGCTTTTATTGAACACCAGCGTTTTTTTCCTATCGAAGCATACCTCTACACACATGCTCCAAAATAAATTAGCATCCCTAAAAGCCACACACTTAATTTTAAAAAGGAAGAGCTTTGTTACCATTTATTAACAACCTGCCCTAAATATTTCTTTTGCTTTGGTTTCCATAGATTTTTTTTCTGCAGCTTTTCTTAACACAACATTTCCCAAGCCAGCCCTCAGCTAGCAAACATTCAGACCAACCTACCTAAGTTCTTCATAGTATGCCCTTTACTCTTTGGTCTAGATGGCAGCTCAAAATTCAAATTAAAAAACAGATATTAGAAGATAGAATTTTATTTTTTTATGTCATATTCTCTTTGACGAACAGGGGCCAAGAGGGAGGTAACTCTATAATTAACTTTAGATATGCCTAATGTAACTCCATTATCATTGATGAGTTTTATGGAGAGACACTGAGAAGGAAATGTGCCTTCTAGAGTTTCATTATGGTGCCAGCACTATCAAAGAATATTTCAGTACTTAGGCCCTAATTCAGCATACTGCGGAAGGTTAGGCACACTGTAAAGCCTGTAAGCCATTCCATGGACCTATGTAGAAAGGTATATGTGTTTATACAATGCACAAGTGTAAGTTGTCTCTAAGCTGGGGACTTGTAGCCTAAGCCTTACTTCCAAATATTCAGAAAAGAGACATGGAAATGTGCCCGGGGCTAGAAGCTGGCACATTACATTGTTTCTTTGAGAATCCACATTCCTTTTGTATCTATTTCGGGGTTTATTTTTATGTGCTGTCTGCTCCTGGTGTGAAAGGGGCAGAGGGCCTCGAGGATGCCATGTGCATGAGGGGCCACCAGCCCATCACATTATGGATGCATCCACAGCATTGTCCTGGCCACCACCCAACTGTGGGCTGGAGCTCCCCCGGCCGATGAGAGACCACCAGCTTCTAAGTGGGAGGTCGGTAATTTTATTGTCACTACAGGTCACCAGGAGCTTGCTGGTTGCTGTACATGTCGCACACAGACGAATAATCAACACCCAGAGATGAAGGGTGGCTTTAGCTCTTATCCATGTCCCTAAACACAAGGGTTGCCACCAGGAAAGGGCACATGACGAAGGGACTGTTGAATAAAGGGCCAGGTGGGATGGGGCTTTGAGCAACTTGGTTTAATGGAAGGTGTCCCTGCCAGTGGCAGGGGGTTGGAAGTAGATGATTTTTAAGGTCTTTTCCAAGCCAGACCATTCTAGGATTATATGATATGCAAAAAATCCATTAGATGTTAAAGCTAAACCACCGAAATCCTTTTCCAATAATTTCTGTGGTAGTCAGTACACAGAGGACCAGACACTACTGAGGATTTTATTTTCAATAAAATTGTACAAATCCAAGATATAGAAGCTTCCATGGGCAGTGGGACTCAAAGTACCCATTTAGAGTATTTGGGTATTTTATTTTTTTTATGATTTAAAGTGATCCATACCTATCTCTGAAGAACTTAAGCCAAACACAGCATGTCAGGTAGCAAAGAGGCAAACATTCCTTCCATCAGTACCTGGCACACTGACACCTTGCTCCAAACCATGCTGCCTACGGGAGAGTCACTTAGTTTTGCATAAGCATCACTGACTTCCATCATCTTCCAGAGAGAAGGTTTACTTATATGAAATCAATGTCAGGCTCCTGGCTTTCAAGCAAACTGATACTCACTGGGGTGTCTCTGTGTATAAACCAATCACTTTGCAACAAACCTAATGTATACAGTGGTTAGAGGAGGCCAAAATATTTGCCTTCTGGAGAGGCCATGCAATTCCTCTGGTTTCAACAAATAATCTGACCTGTGTAACTTTTCTCTATCTACTGTTATGCTAATCAGAATGGAGAGGTCTATAAAGGTACTTAAAGAGACAACTAAAAAAAATTAATCTGTGGTTTAACTTAAAGGTCAACTCAATACATATTGAGAAGTCAACTGAAATGCTTCCATTAAATATAATCACTCCTTCTAGGGTGGTAAATACTGCATGGAAATACCCATCAGGAGCCAAAATCTGATCTCAGACGAATGCAGGACTGGAACTGCGGCACTGATGGAGGACAGCTGGGATGGGGTTGCGCACAGAGCCCTGCCAGTCTGAAGATCTGGGTATCAAGACCCAGGCCACTGGAAAAGCTCTTTAAACTCCATGGGATGGGATTAATACAATGAGATATTTAAAAAATAATAATCTGGGTTTCTGTTTTGGACTTTTCCAGCTTTCTAGATTCCTGCTTTCAAACATTTTTCATAACTGTAAAGTCTAAGGAATTACTTTCTCATAAAAAGAAAGGAAAAAGTTTTTTCTATAATCACATGGCTACCATGGTGAGGGCCCTTTGGAAACAGGAAGGTGCCCTAGCCATCCTAGTGAAACTGGACAAGCTGTGGGACCCTCAACCCTCATTCCTGCTTCTGGGCTCTCTGACAGGTGTGCATTCAAACCTGTTACTCTGTGCATGATCATTCACATCCCAAACTAGTAATCCTGCTCTTTAACAGAAAGAAGCAAGTTGAATACAGCTTAACTAGCATTTTCTGCACGAGAAAACTTATTCTTTAAATTTTAATATATGGGAGGTACACTGTAGGCAGTATCTTCTGAAATAATGTTAAAATTTGAATACTGTGCCAGGAGAGGCACAAAGGTCAGATTCAAATCCTGGACGTAGCATAAAAAATTTAGATAAAACTGTTTGCATATATTTTTGTGTTGCATGTGTCCTGACAGTGTCACCATCAGCATGGGCTCCAGAATTCATAATCCACTATGCTATTTTTTAAAATAGTTTGATTTGCTTATTAACTGTGCTTTCCTATTTCCATGAGATATAGACATCGACAGTGAATAGACCTTTTCTAATTGAACTGATAGCTTGAAAGTGAACATGTCCTTGAATTTACACTGAAAGATAGACAGTGATTATTTATAATAAGGGATTTAGTCAACTGCCTTTCCATTTGTACAGCAAGGACTTTATCAACAGACCATGTTTAGGTAAATAGTGCCAAATAAGATAAATTCTGTATTAAAGGACGAACGTCTTGCAGTGTCAGATGTACATGGAAGAGACATTTGGCTGATGATATGTCCTGTAAGTATAAAAGAGAGTATTAAGATAACACTCTATGCTAGCATTAATACATCAAAGTTCTGGACTGACCTGTTTCATCCAAAGTGAAAGAGAGGATGCTCTTAATTCCTATCTAAGATTAATTTAATTCAGAAGGCATTCAGCCTTATGTCCTCTTTTGCAGCTTTATAAGAATTGCTGGATTTGCAAAATAGCACGGCTGTACGTATGGTAATAAATGATCTGTATTTGTCCAGCCAGAGTTGAAGCCTTTCTTTAAAAACACACACACACACACACACACACACGCACACACACACACAACTCTGGCTCGGTGAGCTTGCTTTGCCCACAATATTAGAGCTTAGCTATCTCCTTGCTGAAGGGCCTATTTGTCTGCTTTAAGTGAAATCACTCAATTCTCAAAAGTCAGTGGAGGACTTTAGAAGGGGGAGGGCTGGGAGAGGCCACTCCAAATAAGTTCCATTAATCAAAAGACACAGTCTAATGTAACTAATATTTTACAATTAGAGAAGACAAGATGGAACTAAAAGCCATCTATCTCTCTTACACCACATGATCATCGATTCATAATCAGAAGACTGAGAGTCGCACAAAGATGCATTTACAGGGGCTGGGGGAGGGGGCCTGGTCGGAGCCGGAGATAATGAACACGATGAGAAGGAGCGGCGCTGAAGGCTGGGGAAAGATGACAGAGTGGTTCAATGGTGACAGATGACACGAAGATGAGTACTGATACCTGACAGGCAGCGAATGATGACTGCAGTCCTTTCCCACCATTATGATCCTCAATTATCTTGGTAAGGACTAAGAGGAAAAAAAAAAAGCCCAGCCGAAGTGGCTCAGCCCATCCGTTTATTTATAAGCTGGGATAATGCTGGAGTGTGCCAGGCTGCTGGAAAAGGCCACCTTTTCACAATTGGATCAGCACTTTATAGGAGCTGTAGTTTTCATTGTCAGCGCTCATGGGCACAAGGGGAAATGGGTAAAATACAGCACTTGTCCATCTGTTTTGTAATAAAATTCCTAAATCTTCAAAGGGACTTATTTTTTTTCTTTCACTGCCACCTTCAGGAAAAAAAACAAAACCCTGGCCTAATAACTAAAAAAAAAAAAAAAAACCAACTCGAAAAAGAAAACTCTCTTTGTATTTGCATGTAGAATTAGGGGGCTACAGCCTGTGCTCCCAAAATCACACGCACAGATTTATTCCAATGTGTAATGCACAGTGGGGAAGGAGCCAGTGTGAGCAAGAGCTGGAGCTGTGACGAGTGTGGGAGCATAGTGAAGGGGAACTTTTAAAGATTCTTCATTGATTTAGGGAATTATTAATAAAAGGGAAGAAAGTTCGCTCGAGACTGCTTTGTAGTTGCAGAAGATGCCACAGGCTAGCATTTCTATGCCAAAGAATATGCTGCTCTGCTACATTATTTATTTTTAAAGACACAGATCTCCTAGCTATGTTGGATTCATTGCTTTTGAGAAAAAGAAAAACAAATTAAGACTAATGTTCTACACAGCTCCCGATAGCAGTAAATATTTGATCAGAACGGTTCACATTTAAATGTTGACATACTAAAAATCGTATTTTGGAAGAAATATTTCTTCTTCTCTCTTTAACGGTAACTTTCCTTTCCTCTCCCCTTTCCTCTCCTTGTCCTCTTGGAGGAATGAAGTCACACAAGGTAGCACAATATTTCCTACCAATGGAAAAAAAATAATGTATGAAACCAGGTCAAAATAGCTCTGCTTTCTTTAAAGAAGATAATTAAAAAAGAAAAGTCCCATGCACTATGCAGGTCACACGTGCTCTGCAATTTTGCCTGCCTTTTCCCTCTTGGAGCTCCATCAGAAGGAGTGGGCTACCCAGAATACCCCAGCACAGAGCCATCCATAGCACCCACTTCCACAGGCAGGAGTGAGCATCAAGCACAGGCTGGGAGACCTAATCTCCACTAACGCTTGGAGCAGCTTAAATACCACCACACTGGGCTTCATCTGACCCTATGTAAAAACTTCCCATGTACTTTTCCTGGCTTCAGGACTGTGAGCACAAGAAGTACATCAGCAAAAAGACGTATCAGAGCAGAGCTTTCCTTCCACTCTGTCATCTGGGGTGGAAGGAAAGTGCCACCCAGTTACACCAGCTCCAGCTGGCCAAGTGGGCTTTAGTAAAAAGCATAAAGAGCATTAAAGTTCAGTAGGTTCTTTTGTTCATCAGAGATGTTTAGTGAAGAAGTTCTAAGTTTTGGCTACGTATGTTAAATAAAATAATAGAGGAAAAAAAAAAAAGAAACAATAGTGAGAATTAACCTAAATACACCTGCTGATGCTGACCACTTCATAACTGCCTTAAAGCACAGAGTGCGCACTGAGCTGCTTGGGCTGGAAAGCTCGATGTCAGGAGAAGGAGGAGAAGGTATATCAGGATATGTGTCTACAGGACTACATGGGCACCACTGGGTTAACAAACAGCATGTCCACAAAGACGTAAAAATATATTGTGTGACATATGGCACCTTTTATAGAGCTGCCTTTTAACTGATAGTTGCCACCCCTCCTTTTGCACAGGGAACACACACACTAGAATGGGTTGGAAAGGACTGCATGGAACGAGTCACACTAGCACAAGAAATGCAATGCCCATCTTACAAACAGTGCATGCACAAGGAGGGCCTTGCTGGTATGAGAATATAACTATTCAAAGAAGCATTTCCCATATTTCCATTTAGGAATCCTAGTTGTGAACAAACGTACTTAATCTGCCCACTTCATGCACCTGAGAACTAAGACAAATTGAACCCATGATCACTCCCCTAATTAGCCTAAACAAAAGCTGTAGATATGAAAAGCATGGTTCTGATGTAGGGGTCTTCGTAGCAATTGATCAATTGATCAATTATTGTATGGCCAGAACTGGGTTTCACAAATAACACATCCTCAGAAGTGATGATAACTGACACAGCGTAAGCCCCATTTTGTCACTGGTTTTTCACAAGAGCACGTGCTTCTCTTGTACACAAGTTTGACTCGTCTCCATGTAACACTATTTCAGTATTCATGGCAAAACAACTCTACTGCCAGCAGTGGATTCACAGCTGTGTAAAATCAGACTATCATAGTGATTAATTGGGCTAACTTAATCTGAACATGCAAATTAAGCAATTGCACTCACAAATATCTAATTTAGCATGTGCATGCAATAGTGTAATTTGCACATACAACCACACTCTTTGGGTAAATGAGGTACACGATTACGAAACATTATTTTCTGCACTTTTCTCCATGTGGAAATTCTCTGAGAAAAATTCTCACTATTGATACTCAATCCAAGCAAACAAATACTTCTTGTATCTGCCAGTATCACTTCTGTGTCTCAAATGGCTACCAAGATGAGCCACATATACTGATCAACCAGAAGACAAACTAATAAAAAGGCCGGGGGAGGGGGGAGTGGAGAAAATAATCTTACTATTAAAATGTAGTTGGTTTTGCTTGAATACAATTTATCAAGCAGGAGTATGAGATTTTTGCTTGAAGAAGCAGCACCAGATTTGAAGCTTTAAACTAAATTTGGAAAACTCTTCAGAAAAATTTGGTTAGTTTTAGAATAAAAGATTTAGTTAAGTAGCATAATATAATGATTCTGTTCTTGATGGAGGATTAAGATACTGAGGTTTATTCTGCTAGCAGCTAGGACCATGAGGGTTGCCCTTCAACGTGGCAGCAATGTAAGCTAAAGTTTACCTGTTTATTGTCCTGATGACTTTTGAGCAGTGGGAAATAAATATTAATGGCTGAAAGGTGCATTAATGATTTCATACAAAATTAAGCAGGAGTTATCTGCAAAATGTGAAGGGGAGAGGGGAGGCGCAGAAGAAGGCAAAAAAGAAAAACATAAGAAGTCGGGCAGGCAGCAGAGCCCAAGCTGCACAGGAAGTGATGAACTCAGGAATATTTGTTTACTGGAGCACTCCGTTAAAAATCTATCACGCACATTAAAGCGCAGCTTACCGGCGGTGCACTGCGCGCCCTCCCCGCTGCTCGGACACATAGAACACACCGCAGACATCACCTCCCTCCGCCTCTGCCCTGTCCACGTCCCTGCGGTGCCGGAGCCGGGTCGAGCTCCAGCAGCTGCGGCGCGGTGGAGCCGCGGTCACTGCGCGGTGCGGGGCGCCGAGGCGCGGAGGGCGGTCTGCAGCGCCACCGCGAGGCGGAGCCGCAACACAGCACCGTAATGCGCAGAGAAGCGCCGCACCGCACGGCACCGAAGCACCGCGACCGGTTCAAGCCGCGGTCACCACCCGGCACTGCGGCCGAGGCTCAGCCTCCTCAGCAGCCCTAGCCCCTCACGCAATGGTGGATACAAAACCAGACCGATGCAGGTCACGCGTTGCAAATGCCATTAAGCTCCGTGTTGGTAGCGGGAAGGCGGAGGGAGGTGTTAAGGGTGCAGGATAAAGCTGAAAAACCTGCCGAGATGACAGGGAGCTGCTGAAAGACATCTTGCGCCACTCGGCGGGGCTTAGTTTTCGGTGTCACCGCTGATAGGGAGGTTTTGCTCCATGTGAAAAGGCCACCGTGTTGAATCTTTAACCCTTGTGTGGCAAACTGTTTGTTTTAGGGGAAAACTGGCTAATTTCAGTCATTCAAGAAGATGAATAGGAGAAAGAAAATGTCAGTGACACGGAATTGATTTTTGCCCTTCACAGCCCTTCAAATGTGAACAAACCCCCAGAACATACCTGTACCTTTGGGCTCAGAGCACGTTTTTGCTACTCCTTCCTGCAGGGAAGGGGTGGGATCCAGAAGGACCTGGACAGGCTGGAGAGGTAGGACCACGTAAACCTCATGAAGCTCAAGAAGGCCAAGTACAAGGTCCTGCACCTGGAACAGGGCAATCCCAAGCACAGCTACAGGTTGGGGAGACTGGATGGAGAGGAGCTCTGAGGAGGTCTTGGGGGTGTTGGCTGACGAGAAGCTCAACATGAGCTGTCAGTGTTCGCTCACAGCTGGGAAACCAAGCATGTGTGTGGGGCTGCATGACCAGCAGCATGGCCAGTGGTTGAGGGAGGGGATTCACCCCCTCTGCTCTGGTGAGACCCCCTGCAGGCCTGCATCCAGCTCTGGGAGGAGCATGAACTTGCTTTAGTGAATCCAGAGGAGGCCACAGATATGGTCCAAGGGCTGGAGCAGCTCTGCTCTGGAGACAGGCTGAGAGAGCTGAGCTTGTTCATCCTGGAGAAAAGAAGGCTGCAGGGAGACCTTAAAGCAGCTTCCAGTGCCTATGGGACTGACAAGAAACCTGGAGAGGGACTTTTGAAAAGGGCCTATAGGGACAGAACAAGGGGGAATGGCTTTAAGATTAAAAAGGGTAGATTTATATTAGACATTAGGCAGAAATTCTTCCCTGTGAGGGTGGTGCGGCCCTGGCACAGGTTGCCCAGAGAAGCTGTGACTGCACCATCCCTGGCAGTGTTCAGGGCCAGGCTTGACAGGGCTTGGAGCAACCTGGTCTAGTGGAAGGTGTCCCTGCCCATGACAGGGGGCTGGAACTGGATGAGCTTTAAGGTCCCTTCCAACCTGAACTGTTCTGTGATTCTATAATCCAGCTACTGCAGGCTTTCCACAGGCTGGGGCAGCGGTACTGCTCCCCTGGCAGCACACAGAGGTGAAAATAAGATCAGATTGTGTCCCAAAACTATTTATAGCATCAAAACTCTTTTGCAATCTTATGACTGATGTGAGATCAAATCTTAGCCATAGTACTATCAAACAAGAACTCTCCTTAAATTAAACAGAGAGCTCTTTCATCCTCCAAAGGAGAAACTTTGCCGTAACAAAAGTAACTAAGTGAACAGAGAGAAGACAAATGAGGGGAAAGGTAGGGTTGGAATTAAACAGAAAAAAGAAAGTACATCACGTCACTAATTGAGTCAATTCCTGGCTTATAAAGCCAAAAGGCACTAC